TAATATTGTTAAAATAAATATTATTGTCTACAGAAAAATAGGTTAGATCAATAAATTAACGTCACTTATGTCTTGCAATAATATTGTTAAAATAAATATTATTGTCTACAGAAAAATAGGTTAGATCAATAAATTAACGTCACTTATGTCTTGCAATAATATTGTTAAAATAAATATTATTGTCTACAGAAAAATAGGGTTAGAACAGTAAATTAACGTCACTTATGTCTTGCAATAACATTGTTAAAATAAATATTATTGTCTACAGAAAAATAGGTTAGATCAATAAATTAACGTCACTTATGTCTTGCAATAACATTGTTAAAATAAATATTATTGTGTATTTCATCCTTATCCGGATCCTAATTTGTAAATTATATATTATACAAAATGAATAACATTTAAAGGATATTTGTTGAAAAACAATGTTTCAATATTTCGCATAAGAATAACGCATATTACTTCTAAATGACGTGCTACTTCACACACAAAGGAATTTAACTTACAAACAACGAACGACTAACAAATCAATGAATTTCCAGGTGATTGAGGTGTACCACGACCAAGGTCTTATATAGCCAAGACTTTATAAGGTAATATATATCCAAACAATAATATTTATTTTAACAATGTTATTGCAAGACATAAGTGACGTTAATTTATTGATCTAACCCTATTTTACTGTAGACAATAATATTTATTTTAACAATGTTATTGCAAGACATAAGTGACGTTAATTTACTGATCTAACCCTATTTTTCTGTAGACAATAATATTTATTTTAACAATGTTACTATAAGACATAAGCGACATTACTTTACTGATCTAAAAATCTAAGTTCTAACCCTATTTTTCTAATATAGGTTTGGTTCCAAAATCGAAGATCTAAGGAGAGAAGAATAAAACAGTTGAGTTCGTTAGGGGTTCGTCGGCACTTCTATCGCGGACCCAGACGTGCCATGAGACCGCTACGATCAGGCCTCTCCCCGGACGGACTAGCCGACAGTCCTGAAATGATAGGTGGGCCTAACTCCGGGTTTGGATATTTCTCAGGTGAGTTCACTATCCAGTCTGCTACAGCGTGGAGTTAATTTTTGGCATGTCAGTGTTAAGATTAAGTTTCTGTGACTAACTGTGAAAAAGTTTAAAGATTTCTGTGTGTGGTGGTGAACTATACTAAAATATTTTGGGCACGTGGGCTGGAATTACTGAAGCATTGTCAGTGTCCTCTGTCGTGTAGAGAGTAAGCCCATCTTTGCGTTCGAAAATGGCGTTCGATCGTATTTTAGAACAACAAAAATCCAACCCAACAACGAGTACTCCGTGTATTGAGCAGTGTTTTCAATTAAATATAACTACATTAAATCATATCACACAATAACAAGGATGACTATAAATAATAAAAAACGTAAAATGATAACATAACAGTAACGACAAAAATAACGAAAATTATTTAGTTATCTCACGTACAGCCACGGACATACTGGTTTGATTTGTTTTGAATTTCGCGCAAAGCTACACGAGGGCTATCTGCGCTAACCGTCCCTAACTTAGCAGTGTAAGACTAGAGGGAAGACAGCTAGTCATCACCACCCACCGCCAACTCTAGGGCTACTCTTTTACCAACGAATAGTGGGATTGACCGTCACATTATAACGCCCCCACGGCTGAAAGGTCGAACATGTTTGGTGGGACGGAGATTCGAACCCGCGACCCTCAGATTGCGAGTCGAGCACCCTAACCACCTGGCCATGCCGGGCCACTGCAGTAAATAAACTAAAAGCTGTTATCAGACGTACATACACGGACATACTGAATCTATTTGTCTATTATAAAAGTGTGTGAAAGGTTCGGTAGACTTGGCTAGTAAATGGATCTCCGATCATTCAATGCTGATGGCTGGTTAGATCAAGGAGAGTATTGTGAAAGGGTTAATTAATGTAAAGCCCTGAGTTATGTTACCTCGATAGATGTCAAAGGTCGCCACCACTCGGTTAACTATAATAATAACTAAAATGATATGTAGTTAATTGTAATAATAATAATAATAACTACAAACAACTAAAACTAAAGGTATAAATCCTTAACTATAAGTATAACAAACACTGGTATTGAGTACATTGTTAGGGTTACCAGACGTCCCAGGAAAACCAGGATAGTCCTAGTTTTTAGCCTTATTTTTTGTCCCGATCAGTAACAGTAAAAGAAACAAATAAGTATTAAAATATTATTCTCAATACTAGAATATAAACAGAAACATTTTTTTTATACATCTGTTTTTGCTTTGAGAAAATTAAATCACACGCAAGGAACACAACTAACGAGGAAATGCTGTTAAAAGGAAGTTTCGCCACACGTGTTGTGTTTGTTTTGGAGCACTTAGAAACCGCAGACGTTCAAAATAAGTTAATTTAAATTCGAAAGTAGACATTTTGTAGCTTAACCCTAACACATTCAGTTCTTATTGTTTAATATCTAATTAGTTGTCCACCGGTGGGGCAGCGGTAAGTTTGCATACTTATAACACTAAAATCCGGGGTTCGATTTCCTACTGTGGACGCAGTAGATAATCCAATGTGGCTTTGCTCTAACACAAACAAACTAATCCGATTATTAATCGTTTGAAACTTGTTTTTTTTTCTTACATTTACCAATCGCATTGATGAGCTATAAACCAAACAAATTAGACAATAATGACTTAGAGTAGACAATTAGGCTTAAAGGAAAGTTCGTGCTCAATGTAGTTGTAAATTGGTTATTCACTTTAATTAAATTGAGAATCGAAGACAATCAAAATAGTATTTTTCTTTCTATTTTTTTTTCTTTGAATATTCACTAAAATTGATTATGAGACACAGTAATCGAGCTGAGTTTTCCGCAATAACTTATATAGGTAAAAGTTTGTTTTAAAAGTAACTTGTTTTTGTTTGTTTTTAATTATGCACAAAGCTACACAAGGGCTATCTGTGCTCTGCCCACCACGGGTATCAAAACCCGGTTTCTAGCGTTGTAAGTCCGCAGACATACCGCTGTGCCACTGGGGGGCTTAAAAGTAACGTCAATCCTCAAAATAAAAAAAATATATATATATATATATATATACAACGTTAAATAGTTGCAACAAATAATATTTATTAAAAACGAAGCATAGCTCTAAAAAGACAAAATGTTTCGGTGGCTTTTTACCCCACAGTCGTCAGGAGTAATAGGTAAAATTAGTACCGATTTATGTAGTTAAATAACCTTCGGTTTACGTTATTTTGCATTATACCTTCAGCGCCATCTATACTTTGAACACAACTAAAAAGCTTATATAATAACTTTCCAGTATTTCATTTCTTCCGCACCTAGATCGCCATCTATATTTTTTGTTTTTCTCAGTTTCTGCTGCTTCTCTTATATTTAGTTCCCACTTAAACTCAACCTGATTCATTAGTTTAACATTACGTCCACCTGTAACGTGCTTGTCACGTGCTCTGCTGAAGCCTTTTCATTCATTTGTCTACCGCGTTTTTTACGCTCCTTTTAATTCAAAAAAAAAAATTAGGTTTGTACACGTTTGGCAAATATAAACTGTTTGTCTACCGCATTTTTTATGCTCCTTTTAATTCCAAAAAAAATTAGGTTTGTACACGTTTGGCAAATATAAACTGTTTGTCTACCGCATTTTTTATGCTCCTTTTAATTCCAAAAAAAATTAGGTTTGTACACGTTTGGCAAATATAAACTGGACCACAGACACGAGGAATTTTTAAGTGATACATTTATCAACTTGTTCCGTGTTAGTTTTACACCCGTAAGGTAATTATTTAACTTCAAAGTGGAGAGAAAGTTATATAGTTTCTATTATGTAATCTACTCTTGTTAACATATAAGGTAAACAAACCTTCACGTCCTCAACTTTACCATTTCTTTTAAACTGCCCCCCCCCCCTCCCAGTGGCACAGCGGTATGTCTGCGGACTTACAACGCTAGAAACCGGGTTTCGATACCCGTGGTGAGCAGAGCACAGATAGCCCATTGTGTAGCTTTGTGCTTATTTACAAACAAACAAACAAAAAAATTTTGAACTTTTTTTACATGATGACATTTATTGCTATGTTTTTTGTTTTATATAATATATATCGATAATATCGGGACCAGACCCAGTGTTCTTAGCTCCGATCTTAAGTAAGAATCGTGAAGTCAAATTTTAATGTTCTATATACAAATGTGGAAAAGGTGCATAAATTTTATGGCTAGTGGGAGACACGATCTGTTGTGTGGTGGAACGGCCACAGAAGACAGTTTTCTATAAATGGACAATGAGAAAAACCCATTACCCCGTTTAACTGTCATGTCTAGAAAACTCCATTGACTCTCCATTTCTAGGGTTAACCGAGTACTAGGACTAACCGAATTAAAACAACCTTGAAATTGCATTAATGTGTCGTTGACACTTCGCCACACCAAAAAACATGTCCCTAACCACACCAGAGGTTTAACCCCAAAATTATTTAATGCATCTATGTCAAATTTAAACGTAAACAACTCACATAACAGAGGTAGACAAGGGAGACCCCAAAGCTAAACCTTTAAGCTGTTTGAAGAATTTATTCGTTACCCTAACATACACTGGTGGGTCAGCATCATAATTTCACTCACTTCTAACAGGGGAAATTTCCTGCTGTCTAGTACATTATTCTCAGGACAACTAAGTACCTCTTCAACCGACACATTTGTGAACAGAGACATGATGCCAAAAGAGGCTAATTTATCAGTAGATTCTAAATTTTATTCCTCATATTTTTATTAACAAAATCAGACGCATTGTTTTAAAATGGAGTTTCAGGTATTGGTTAAGAACGAACATTTTTGACAAGCAAGCTTCGCCCATGGATGGAACGACGAGCCCCTGTTATCCACAGTTGGACGAAACGCAGTAACAATTTTATGGATTTTAGATGGCGCTTAAAGCCTACGCAAAATGGACCTTAAGGGCACAAGGTCCTTCCCTTCTTTCGGGGTCAAAGTAACACATATTTTTTACTACAGTTTTCACTCTATCATGAACCAAGGTAGTAGGATCCTTTTTTTTTTACTTGTTCATAAGAACCATTCCTAATTACTATTTAACCTTACCCTCATAAACTCTTTTATCCAACATTACCACAACCCCCCTTTATATGTCTTGGTAACTGTAGTATTGCCATTGTTCTTCTACGAACGTAACCGTTCTAATTCAACCTTACTTAAGTCTAGGTTTACAAGTATCATTCGATAATTCATTTGGTATGTCTGTTCTAACTGTATGTCTTGTCCTATCATTAGTAACTTTTAATCTTTTAAAACACACTTTCGTTGACACCATCAGATCCTCTTTGATCGAGTCGTTATTAACTGTAAGAGTTAAGCCTAGACTGAAATGTAAACCTGGTGTTGAAGTTTCAGCCTTGAAGAATAAATAGATGTAGTAAATTACTGTCTAACCCTAAAGTAGTTACCTTATCGAATGAAATTGTTTCACCTGAGCAGGTGAGAATTTAAAGTCTAGCCCCAGTGGTTTTGCGTGTCGGGTTGCGAATCGAATGGTCCAGAGTTCGAGACAAGATGCCATTGAATACGCTCCGCACCTTCAACTGTGAGTAAGTTATAAAAGTGGCAGTTAATCACATTATTCGATTCATAAACCCAAGAAAAACGTTAGTGGTGGCGTGTGTACCCGTCTGTCTACATCCCCTCTAGTCAGTAGTTCAAAATTAGGCATGGTTTACCCGAACCGCTGTTATTCACAGTTTGAAATACAGGAAACGTTGAAATGCTACGAATGGGACTATACGACCAGGAAAGAAGTCGATCTTAAATTGCCCCGTGTGGTGGTCAGCCATTTCTTTTAGCTTGGACACGCTGTAGTTTTGTCCCCCCCCCCTCTCACCTTTCTCTTCCTTTCTTTTATCAGAAATTGTCAATCTAAGGAGCTGTAGGCGTTGTTTTGGATATCAGCAAACAGGTTAGGCCTACATTCACGACCGATTTAAGGGCGTTGTTTTGGATGGCAGCAAACAGGTTAGGCC